TTATGGTGTGCTTGTGCCAGTTTGTGAATGTTTGTGTAGGTAAATGTCGCTACCGATCAAAAGAATATTACTTTATTTAGACCTCCAGCAAGGAGCCAAGTAATCATGATCCCTTCGGCAGCAGACAGCTCGGCCCCAAATTTAAAGGCAACAGGAAGAAATAAAAACACCAAGTTCCCAAGTTCAATCATCACTTCCTGGCTTAATGACAAGGGCAAATTCTGCCTCCTATCTCTGTGAAAAATGCCCTGACTACAGTGCCCCCTGGTCCAGGGCCACAGTCTTATGTGAGCTCATGTCCTTTCTGCTACAGGCAGTCACATTTCTTTGGGCTTCTCATATAATTATTTATTGATCTACTTTTAACAGTAGCAGGACACACTAAGATCACTGTTCTTCCCTTCAATATCAGAGCAAAACCCGGGATGACATTATTTTAAAAAGAGAAAAGGATAATCCGTTTCCTCTCTCTCCATCTCTGCGTTCCTCCTGACAGATTGAAAGGCTGCCTTTATCACAAAACTACCTAGGTGTTAAAAAGGTCTATTGATGACAAATGTCTTGATTCTAATGAAGAATGTTATTTAAAAAGAAGACACCTTCTTTATTTTTCACCTTGACTTTCTCTCAGTCCTGTGACAAACCTCAGTAGACAAAATGCAAAGCAATTGAGGTTATTTCTTGCCTAAAGGTCACTTATCTGAGATAAACAAGATTGGCATAAACAAGGAATCTGACAAAGGCCTGGCAAGATGTTTATCTGTGCTCTGGAAACAATGTCCCCCCACACCCTAAAAAGTAACATACTGTATACAACTAACACTCAACAATAAAACATGTTGCTCACTGTTTGGAGTGTGTGTTTGGGTGCCAGAGCAGTGTTACCCATAAAGGCTAATTTCATGGCACATATTAATTATACAACACAGCTGAAAGAGGCCATAACCAGTCAGTGATGGCATACACTGCCAATACAGATGGGCAATTAAAAGTCAGAGAAAGTAATTGCATTTGTTCCACTCCGATAGGTTCTTTATTGGAATTTTAATTAAGTGTCTGAAGGAGATTCGGTAGGGAGAGTTTAGACTGCAGGAAGACTGGGGCTGGTTAAAGAGAGATAGGCTCTCCTGGCTTTCAGAGTCCAGTCTCTGTGATACACAGAATGGATATGAGTAAAGGTCAGCCAACTGACAGATCAGCCTTGGTAGATAGTGTCTATTACCCCATCTATAAAGTGTTTATCAGCTACATGTTATGGAGCCCTAATGTGAAAATCCATGGTAATGTCCCTGCACAACTTGAAAGCTTAATCTCAAACAGGGTTTGATGTAGATGCTCAGCTGTGAACATATACACACCACAGATGGGGATGAGTTTCAGGATACCTGAGAAATTCCATTATGTTGGAATAAGGCAATACCACAGTGAAAAGCACTCCCTGCACTGCAACCTTAAAAAGTTAATCCCAGCACACATACAGAAGCCATGAGAGACAGGATCTGACAGCTGTGCAGATTTGAGCCAGTGCCTGTGGCCCAGCCAGTAGACTATTTCCAGCCTCCACGCTTGCGTAGGTCATTAACCTCACAGGATGCTTAATGAGCTCTAATTAGTGCTGACATTTAGGGGAGATGATAATGCGGGGACACAAATTCTCAGAGACGCACACGACCGGCTCCTCACACTGACGCAGGAGTCTGACGGCCACATCCGTCCAAACACATTGATCTTAGCCTGACCTTTTTGAAATTTTCAGCAGCGCTTTTTTTTAACTGACCATTGTGGATGCTTGGGACACCTTCATTCAGTCAACCCCTACTGTGCTTGAGACAGAAAGGGCACCACCGAACAAGGATTATGGTTAAGGACAAATAAATAATTTTAAATAAGGCTCAATTTAAGAAGGCCAGTCAGTGACTTTGCAAACTGAGTCATCATGCATGAGTGACTGTCTCTTTTTTCATGTACATAACCACATAAATAGGTTCACAAAGCTGTATAATTTGTAGAAGGCCAACTTCTACAGAGGTTTTCATAGTGAATCTTGATCTTGTATTTATGTGTGTTGTGTGAGTTTACAGGGAAGATTTAATGTTAACCTCCTACCATACAATGGGCTCCAATTCCCAGCTGTAGCCAAACACTTCCAAAAGATTTGAAGTCAACAATGTATTAAATCCTCAGAGACCATAAATACCATCCAACACTCCAAAAAGTTTAATAGGAGGATGGCTTTTACATTGCGCTGATTCTAACTGGGTTAACTTTTTCCTGTAGTACAGGCTCATAGTTCCTCCAATGAATATGTAGAGCCCAGCCAGCTCAGTGCCGGATTTCCCATTAAGGCCTACGAAGGAGGGAAACACTAGTGGCGAAAAACGAGCTGAAACAACATGCTTGGGATCAACTACTGTAGGTACTCCAAATCAATAATCATCCGCTATCTAGCGGCTGTTCTAGAAACTAGAAGTATCAAAGTGATGGTCGCTCGATTCACTCCATCAATCACATGGGTTAGCATTAGAATAGTTCAAAGTGCGTCATGTCAATCAAAGTAATTCAATTGGCGTTTACCCCTCTTTTTGCACATTTTGGAGTGAAAGTGCCTAGGGCCTACGATCACCAAAATCCGGCCCTGAGCCAGCTTTCACCAACAGAACTACTGTTTAACTCATTCAGCCTAAAATCACCCCCTTGTGAAATTTGCAGAAGGGGTGAATTATATCCTGTGATTGCACCAGGTTTACACCACACACCTTGTTCCCCTCTGCCTATTTTGGATATGTTCGCATAGGTATAGTAGCTGCATCAGCATGCACAGGCTGCAAAAGAACAGGTATAAGTTAACTCCATGCTGAAAGGTAAGGAAAAGAAACACAAAGTTTTGGCTGGGGAGCCTTCTTCACAATGTGAGGGAGACAGGCAAAGTAGCAGATAAATAAGGCACAGGAATAAAAGACAGAATAGGCAAGAAGGGGAACGGAGCAGTGAGGAAATGGGTATGAAGCAGGTGAGAATGAGTTTCCAAACCCAGGGAGAAAAGGAGGAAAGGAGGTGTGGAAAAACCAAAACCTGCAAATGAACACTTCTGATAACCATATTTTGGCTATTTTGCTTTTCAACATTTTTAAAGTTCATTTTTACATGATCTAGTTCAGACGGGCAGGACAACAGTCAGCTCGTTAGCAAACTACCCATTTTTGTTGCCTGCCCCTGTCCAGTGTAGGCCCCTGTGACCCATCATCTAATAATCATGTACCGATAACAAACATCACCACTCATGTAATAAATTACCAGTGAGAGCTGATAAAACATTTGCAAGAAAGAAGGAAAAAAAAAGGAGAAAAATCTACAAAAACCAGCTCTAGAAGCTAATAAATAAATAAACGGACTGGAGAGTCCTGTCACTCAGGAGCACAGCAGAGAACTCATGTGGAAAAGTGGTTGTGAATTACCAAGCGAGAGAAATGGGATTCTTTATTGTAATAAAGTGTTCTTTGATGTGGCTGAGATAATTACTTCTAAAAGCTTTTTGTTCCTGGTTCACAGGTATGAATCAATGATGCAAGACAGCCGTAAGAACGCACCAGGTTGCCTGTCTAATCCCTTCCACAGATCGAGCTCTAATGAAGAATGACCGCAGAACAGGGCGCACTGTGTAAGACACAAGGTACCTCATATTCACTTGAACATAATACCGATCAGGCAAAAAACCTTCACTTTTTCATCCAATGTACTTCTTGTTAATTGCTTCTCTTAATTCTTAATGGAAGGAACTTATCCATGCATCAACCAGCAAAAAAGCCCATAGACAAGGAATTGTATTTTTTTGTAATTGGATTAACTGGATTTATTTCACACAAATTAATTAAAGAGCAACAATTCCAAGAACGTAACCGATTAAGACATGCATGCTCACTGCAAAGCAGCCAGCATCTCTACCTGTGAGTGTGCGCAGTGTACAGGCCGGAAAGACAGATGTACAGTACAAAAGTAAGGCATGAACATTTGGAGAGGGTTAAATGTCTGAAACAACCTGAGCTCAAGTTGGAGGAGCTGCCTGAGAAATACAACTGCTTTTTTATAGCATCTTTCTGGGGTTGGTGCTGATTAACTGTTTGTTGGAACTGAAACATTTTCCACATGAAGAAATTCAGAAACTGCACTCCAAGTTACACTGTTCCTGAAGAAAGTTGCAAAGGGAGCAGAAAAACTGCATCAGTGAAGTTGCGACACTTTAGCAGACAGTTATTCCTTGCTGGCTTCGGTTTTGAGCTCGCTAATTGGGACACTGACAGATTGTTGCTTCCCTTGTTCTGAGAAGCGATCAATCCGATCCTGTTTAAAGAGAGATCAGAGCGCAGCTTCGAATCTTCCCTCACCTGGTTCATACGAATCCTGGAGCGGAGAGCAGCAATGTGCTTATACCTCAGCCGTGTCACTTCTGAAGCTTGAAATCCCCAGTTAAATGTAGCTGTCAGTCTCAGCACTGCTCCCACACATCTCTACATGCCCTGACACAATCTGGCACAGTCCCACTGCGCAGCCGACTGGCAGACCAGGAAGGAGTGGGAGGAACAATTCAGCTGAGGGGTGAGATGAGGTTGTGAAGCAGCACAGGGAAGACTTTATAGGTCTGCATCACAAACTGTTTTCCATCCACTCCGTGTGAGCAGCATGTTTTCTTAAGTGTAATAATGACCACATAAGCTGCAAATTTAACCCAAGAATGACTTACAGAATTCACAGACAGTATGTAGACAATTAATCAAGTGTTCTGCGACTTATTGTTTTAACCTGTACTTTAAGTCCTTTTAGAAAAAGTGTTAATAGGAAATGTGTGGTCAACTCTTTGTGAATACAAACCTCTGTTCCCTACTTTTACTGCACCAGACTGGGTCCTAGACAAAATGAAAAGGAAACCTGTTCAAAAGATGAGAGGTGAAATAAGATGAATCAACAGATCTCCTGTGTCCAAATAAAAGATGACACAATTTTTAGAGAACCAATTCATTTAATATAAATCAGAGTTAAATATACAGTAGATAACTATCTTTTCTTTTTAGGCTCATAACAGCATCAACCACAGAAGCGTTAATAAAACCCAAAGTAATGGCTTTAACATTTTGGCATGGCTCACGAAAGAAAAGAAAACATTACAGACACATCGCTTTCTGCTGCTGATTGGTTCAGTATCGCAGAGATTTGTCCATTTTTAACATACTTTACAAGGTGCTTTTTTTTAATTAACCCAGTTTGCTGTACCCAATGTGTGAGCTGTACCAAGACAAAACCTCTTGACCTCAGATTAAAACAAACAGCAAAGATCACACAAATAATCATGTCAATCAATCAATACAAATAAAACAACGACAAAAAACAGTAAAACAAAGGCAAATATAAAAAGGTTTGAGACTCCTGTTCGGTGCATGCACTATGTGATGTTTATTGGCAAGATACTTTACCTTGAATACTGCAGAGTGCGCAGTATAATGGCTGTTCTGAGTAACATTGGGTATAACAAGATGAAATAACTAACATGTTATGTGCATGCGGAGAAACAGAAGGAATGGGAGAAGGAGGACATTTTTTATGAAACAACACTGCTATTAACGAAACAGTTCAGCACAGGAACACAGTTTCCCCAGCCCAATACATGCCACTAAGACAGCAGTCGAAAAAAGGAACTCTACCCTCCGATTTCATTTAGGTATATGCAGCTTCTACAATTTGTATGTTCAGAGTGGTGGAGTAATGTGTCACAACGTGATTACAGTATGTCCAGCGTGAGACCGGGAGCCTGATTTTGACAGCTTCTTTCAACAGCTTGCTCTGGTCCACTCAAGCCCAGTGACGTCCGGCTGCTTGGAATGTCAAGAGGAGGCCATCCCAGCTCTCTAGTGCAGTGAAACCCAATGAAACCCCACCGTCATCACAGAGTATAACAGCAGCCCTGCACTGTGGCCCGCAGATCACAGACATGCGGGTTAGCCTGGTGGCACTGAAGTGATATAGCTCATAACAAAAGAGGATGATGGAGCACATACTGCAAGTGTGCCGTTTGTGAGTGTTGGCAGGCTGAGAAGAGATTCAAACACTACTTAGAGGCACCACAACTTTTCCTGTAAAAATTCAGGACTGCAGAAAATACTAATTAATGTAATTTACAGAGTAACGGTGCAACGTGGCACCCCAATCGTCTGTTAGAAGTCATTTCCATTATTAAGACTTTAATTCTGCAAACAAGCTGTAAGCCTCTTTCAAAACGCTGCCGGATGACTGCTTCTGCAAAGAGCACTGAGGAGATGTGCCAAATACTGAATGTGACGTGCGTATGAAGGATGATTACTTCAGAGGCATTATTTATGGCAGGATTGCTAAATAACATGAACATGCGTTTCCTCTGGTGCAGTACAACTTTATAATTGTGCATTCCTCAATTATTTAACTCCCCCATCTGTTTACAGGTCTGTTTAAAACCCGGTTTTCCTTGAATGCTGATGATGCTCTTCAGATTTTAACTTGACATACTCTGCTGTTTTTCTTTTGCTCGCTGATAACTCATAAATGCTATCTTATCAGGGTGAGTTTCAGAAGATTAGGATCAGATATTTTCTCTTGACTGTGCAAAAATCTACAGTACAGTACATCTAAAAAATGAGCAATCCAAAGATCTGAAAAGCAACCAAAATTAAGTACCACAAATTTTTAGTTTTCAGAAGACAAAAAGCAGTATGTGTACAATACATATACAGTGCGTCCTCATGAATGACAATCAAAGCTTGTTGCTTCTAAGTATAAGTCAAGATCTTTAGACAATCAGCCAGAGAGAAAGGTTAGAGTCCCAATATCTGATAAATGGCAGAGAAAGACAAAAGTAAACAGCTTTAGACCAGAACAATCTCTCCAAAGGTCAGGAGGATAGTTTATAATCTTGTACTGTCCTAACCTCAGTGTCAGAAAGACCTGACCGATAAATCCTGAGCATTAATTTGATAATGTCTTCCTCTCTGCTTTCCACAAGGCTCTGTTCTTGGACTCCAGGGACCCTGCCTCAGATCAGAGCTTATAATTTAAAGACCTTTGCTCCAGCTTTGACCCCTTACTGTTCACCTGGGATCTGCTGTTCCAATTCCTCAGCTACGTGGGATCATGAGAATTACTTCCCAATAATAAGCCACTGTTTAGTACACCAAACAAAAAATCTTATAGAGACTAAGGCACACTCAATACATAAACTTGAAACAGGGGCTGTCCCAACAATACCCAATAATACCAGTTTAGTTGAGGGCACAGGCAGACACCGAGTCAGAATGAAGCTTAAATGTCAAAGAGAATGAACTTTGCTGCAGCAATGTTGCACAGTGCATGTGAGCAGAAAGAACAAAAACATCAGACTAGCATGGTGGGCTATACTGAGGCCCCTGTAACAGCCTGGGGAGGTTTTTCAAAGGCACACTGGTATCTTCATGGTGAAACAGTGGTGTAGGATATTTAGCACCTGAACAACATGTAACTTCAAAACTGCTGCACAACTACAATGACCACGGAGCACAGAATAGTCTATACAGTTAACATTAGCATTATTTATGTTGAAATGTCCACCAGATGGGAGATTCATGGGAAAGGGATCACAGAAGCTAAGATTCTGGATAAAACCAACTTTGGATGGTGTTTTAAGAAACAGAAGCAAAAGGGGCAGATCTGAATTTGTACACCTAAGGAATGAAAGGTGATCACACAGTTTTAGAAGCCCTTAGAACAGGGCTGTCTGTTCCTGGTGCTGGAGGGCAGATGCGTCTGTGGGGTTTCATTCCACCTCAGCTCATACTGAGCTAAACCAGCTGGTTAGTGCACCACTTTAACAGCATCTCTTGGCTCTTCAGGACCCGCAGCTTTAAAGAAACCTGGAAAGGCTGCAAACACATGAGCCCTCCAGGACCAGGACACCCCTGCCTTAGAGGATTAGAGGACTGTACTGCGTGAAAGACTTATTAGATAGAGCATCTTGCTGTAAACTGGCAAACACTATCTCAGTGGCCTGCATTGCAATAGATTGGGATAACAAAAGATAAAATCAGTTGATCTGCAGGATAGGGACAACCTTTCTGGACCTCTTAATGGGATTTGGGGAGAAACGGAGTACCTAATATTATTAATAAAGCTCCTCACAGAGGAACCCTACTACCTTACTAATCTTCCCTTTGCACTCAAATGCTTATTAAACAGTCGATCAGAACACAGCTCTGGCCCCTAAAGGTATATTTTAACATTGCATGATAATCATGCTGTGTATGTACTGCATCCTCAAAAGAGCCCTAGGTCTCCCCATGGTTCCATATGCTTTCCATATCTTTAAATCACTTCCTCCAGAGATCCTGCACTTGACTGTGAATAGTGGAACCGTATTGCCAAATTGTGTTTGGGAGTAAAAGAAATCTCAAGCCATTTTTTGGAAGGAATATTTTCTTTCTTTTTTTCCTTTAAAAAATAAAAAATAAACAATAACAACAAAGAAATGTGGTGAAATATGGTGACAATTGCTACAACAGATGCTGAAGCTCCTGTTTGCAGACTCAAGCTCTTGGCTCTTAAACAGTTCTACAGATTGTATCAAGAAGAAATCTGGATTCCTCCAAGACCACCTTCCAATGTTACAATGTTTACTTTGGGATCAATCTGGTTTCATGACCAAGGTGACCAGGGTTCCTTTTCTAATCAATACAACAATAGATCAGAGTAAAAAATGAATGTAAGATTCAGAATCTGAATAGTGGGATATGTTAGTGGTGCCAATGTACAGTAGGAAGTCTTGAACACTTGTGATTTCCAAACCTAAAACAAGGATTCCTCATTCCTGATGTTATGATATACTGTACTGTAAGTATGATAAAATTATAAAAGCCTTTTTGGTAAAGTGTTTCCTTAAGGTATTGTGTAGCCCAATATTACACATGTCAACTTTTAAAAAATCAACTAATCAACCAGAACAATGCTTTTGGGCATAGACAAGTATACATGGAACCTTCTGTACATGGGTGGCACATTAAGACGAAAATACAGCCAAGACAGAAAATCAGAATGACCATTCTGCTGTTTCAGACCTCAAACTGAAGTTCTTAAAGGTCAGGGTGAGATGACCTTTCACTTTCCACTCTGCAGTTAGAGTTACCTCCGCTGCGCAGCTTCAACTCCACATTATCATTTTAAGGTGAGTCTCAAAGCTATTCTTGCTCCAGGGCGGAAGCTGTTCTGAGTTTTTTAAAATAATTTTAAAACTTTCAAGGTGCTATTTGCAAGAGGCAGTATAGATGGAAAAGCAGAATTTTAATATTTTTTTCAAGTCAACTTTAAGCTTTTTCAAACTCTTTTGGAATATTAGGAAGAGTTCACAAGGGTGACAAAAAAATTAAATGAACACTGGTGAGAAGCACTTTTAAAAAAATCTTTTTCTTCTTAAAGTCTTTCTTGTGTACTTCTGGCAGGGATGTGCACTAACGCCCCCCTCAGTCACAGAGCCTTGTGCCAAAATGCAATAAACATCAAATACGCAAAATGGTAGCAAAGCTTTTCCATGCGGAACTGTTAAATGTTTCTTTGAGTATCTTGATGACTGACTGCATTGTTTCAGGCTGCACACTGGGACAATATCACCAGTCTGAGTCAGGGATCTGAACCAGAGATGTCAACACAACAGCACCGTACGCAGTGCCAAAGTACACAATTCACTTGCTGAAGCTGTAGTTACTAGTTTTAAGCCACAGCTAGCACAACATGAAGCTCTTTAACTTAGTTACTTAGTTATGTAGCAGTACATTGGAGTCTATTCTCACTCAGTGATACCAGCTGGGCAGAGGACAGGACATAGGGCTCTGATGGAAAGCAGCACTGACTCCTTTCCCATGTCCCTCCAATGAGAGCTCTCAGCATCCCTTTCTGTTTCTACACCATAAAAAAACAAGAGTTCCTGTTACTCCTTGTAGGCAGAATTTGAATTTAAGCATCTGAACAACCTGTACTCTGTATCTTTGTTTCTCATTTTACATAGCAATGATAAAATACCAGAAAGTCAAAGGGTTAAAAAGGAAACGTTTTGAAAAGAAGCCCACACAACATTTTCTTCACCTGTAAGAATGAGCAATAATAACTGCATGACATTAAAAGGCGTACTTATTAAGTTCTCTCCCTAGGAACGATATACACTGTAGTCTGGGCTCTGAAAAAATCAGTGATTTGCCACGTCTAATGCTGCAGAATTTCCAGAATTTCAATGTAAGGAAGATTAATCAACAGAAATTTAAATTTTTTAGCAATGGCTAAATTAGACTTTGTCAGCCAGTGTTCTTGAGAGGCTTTATGCTTCAGCTGGAGTTCTTCAGGCAGAGTGATGGAACAAGAACAAAGCCTGGCACATACAAGAGCCCTAACACAAACACGGCAGAGTACAGCAAACCATGAACAAATTCAGTTTCTTATTGATTCTTGTCATAATTGTGCCTCAGATGCAGGGATTTGGGCAGTTCTGAAATTGGCTGATTATAACTTTGTTATTATAGTGTAACAGCTGCATAATAAAAGACCAAAGGCTTTCTATTCAAATATACACAAAGTGCCTCTATAGTTTGACCATTTGAAAATCTGTTTTGAGAAAACCATGCACTGTCCTGCAATTTAGTGACTATGCAAATGTGACTGGGGTGATGTATTCCAATGACTGCTCACAGCAGAGGGCTGCTGTATAACGATCAATGCAAACATCACATGTATGATGTAGAGTACATCATCTGGTTGACACTTGGCAAAGCACCCTCAGTGTACTGATGCTGTCCATGAGAACACATTCTATATACTGTATTTCCGTTTGTAAAGGACCAAATTTTATTACTTCACAGTGCACAGTTTTCACTGTGCAGCCGTCTGAATGGGCTAGCTAACAGAAGATCTAGAGATCTCAGAAGCCAAGCAGGCCTGGGTCAGGACAGGGCAGGACAAGAGCGAGACTGGGAAAGGGGACATCTAAGGTATACCAGATCGCTGCATGAAGTGGATGTAGTGGACCAGTAAGTGATGTTCTTCCCCCTGGACCAGAACTTCTAAACCAATATCCCAGTATGGTTACTTGGGACAAAGTGACGTGGGAGGTGCTATGCTTTGGATGAAATGTTAAACCAAGCTCCTGAGAATCTGTTCATTAAGGATCCTATAGAACTGCGTGTATGAACACAAATTTAATCCCCCGTGTCCAGGCTAAATTTCTTTCTGGACGTGAATAAACTGGGCTATCTACAAAGACACCCCTTGACCTAAAAGTGGTGAAGCGGCTTCTCCCTTCACCTGATCGGCAGTGTTGTGGAAAGCTGGTACCTGGTACTAAATGGTTGCACACATCACCCAGGCGGCTGCTCGCCTCCAACAGTGGACGACATGGGTCCCTCCATATGTGCAAAGACCTTTCAAATCATTGGGGACAAAAAGTGCCATAAAAATGCAAGGAATGATTATTAATATAAATAGCGTAATTGCACAAAATTACTTTTGAATCTGTTCAAATGTAAAACACAATTTGTGGAAATAATTATTACTTAATTGAACATCATGCAATACAACCCGCAGAGACCAATTTCAGTTTGCCATCTTTTTAAATTATTTCACTAAAATGCTTAAAAGGTTAATTTGGCAATTTTATCTGATGGCACACAGCGCACCGCATATTTCCTACAGGTGAAAGGAGCTCATATACTGTCGGGATCTGTCAACTTCCTATCTGATAAATGCCACAGACTTTCAATATACACCTAAATTATCTCTCCTGCTGTCCTGCCAGTATGGTTCATAGATAGGTGTACCCTCACTTTTGTGCCCATGGAAGAAAGGTCAAGATGTGACCTTTGACACACCAATCCTATTCTCAAAATAAAAACAAACTGCAAAACTGTCAGAACACAAGCAATAGTCCCACAGTTAATAAAGTCCCAGCATATACAGTTTAAGTGACTTAAATGTAATGGGAAGAAAAGAAGGTTGTGAGTAAAAGAGTCTCTGGACTGGAGCTGGAAAACCCTTTCCAGGGTTAATCCTAATATAGCCTTAATCCTAATACAAAAAGGCAAGGTCTGCAAGAAGAGGAAACAGTCTAGTATTGAAGGTTGTTCCACTGCGATCCAATCACCTTCCATTGCATACTGGCTTCTTCCTTTACAACAGGGCTAGGTTCCCAGTTTACCACCTCCATTCCTGCCACTGCAAAGTATTTAAAGGCTGATTCTTAAATGTCTTTCGGCAGCAGTGTTGATTAAATAAATAAGGGTGTTATTTAAAGAGGAAGTGCAGTCTCAATTTCTCAGACCAGTTATTAAATCTCAGTTTTAAAGAAACGGACAGCAAAATTAAAAAAATTTCGAATCAAGTATAAAATTGTCAACTTTGTGAAAGTACTGTAAGGTTGGCATGTTGTCACAGGCAGACGAGAAGCAGCTAGTTTCACCACAGCGAGAGAGAGAGTTTGCGAGAATTGAAACATTAAAGCAGCCCTTCCTGCTCATTAGTCGTTGTAAGCAAATGAGAAAAATGGTCTCCTAAAATGTTAATTATTATGAGGGTATTTTAGTTAACTGACAGGATGTTCTTTTTTTAAAATACTTAAAAGTATCTAAAAAACAAGTCACCTTGTATGCGTCGGTTTCATGAAAATATTGACAATATAGTAGCAAAAATTCACTTGGTCTAAAGCAGGGGCCTCAAACACGCAGTCCCCAGTAATTATCTGCGGCCTGCAATGACTCACTTGGATTAACAAAAAATTACCAATAAAATTAGGTTGTTTTGGTCATTTGATACATTTTTTTGTTCCATAGATTCATTTTCTGTTTCAATAATTGCCATGGAAATATTGTAGCAGTTAAGCAATATTGTAGCAGTAGGTGACAAAGCGGAGGCGCACCCGGCCAATGCAAGCACCGCGATGCAGACTGGGAACTGTGGCCGGGAGATGTTCTGAGGGTCTGCAGAGTGACCGCTAGGTCCCCCTGCCTGTGTAAATAGTGACTATAAAACCTAATATAATAGTAGTTAATTGTTTATTCCTGAATTGTCCCTTGTCTTGTAACCACCCTAACCCTGCATACGTGTCCTATTTACAGCTTCTGTGAGTGCATTAAGCCAAAGAGTTGGTGTCTACACCTCTGTTGCTTGATTGCTGGCTGACGGAGTTCTGTCAGTAAATAAAGTAGACAGAAAGAAAGGTTTCTGAAGTTAGTCTGTGCGTCTGCTAGAATCATAGCAATGGTTGGCAGTATGTACTGTACGTATACAAACAGTTTTTCTCATCAATGAAGATCAACAAATCAGTTTTACGGACTCACCGATGAACATTTACGAGCAACATTGCGATTGGCTATTTCATGTGATACCAGGCTTAATGTTCACATACTGGTCTCTGCAAAACGCTGTCAATGAAGCAGCCAGAATGAAGAACTTCAGAAATAACCTCACATGATGTCGAGTACATTGAGTAAAGTTAACCAACATGTTTCAAATAAATTCAGTTTCAATATTTTTTTAAAGATTTGATGCATTTTGTGTGCATGAATGTGGCCCGACGATTAGTGCATTTTATCTAATGCGGCCCCCATATTCAAGTGAGTTTGAGACCCCTGGTCTAAAGCATGTTTACAATGTAATAGGGCTGCTTTCTTGTCACTGGAAGTTTTGTTGCCTCGTTCTGAATCGCGGACAATGACGGCCATATGCCGCTACACATACATTGAAACTTCTCTTTATGATGTAAATTGGAGGATGTTCATGTGACTGTGTACTTGATAGTTTCACTGTGGTTTGAAATACAATCATCATTGCCAATTAATTATAACTCTGAAATGTAAAAATAGCATTGCAGTTTGCCTTTAAGAGAACAAAGTGGTCACACTGAAACAAAATGAAACTAAAGAGCCAAGGCTGTACATCACTGGCACATAGAGCATTACTTGTGTTCACACGGGATTAAGAAATACAGCTGAATCCACCTCAGACATCAGAACAACTTCAGACAGGAATAGAGTTCTGTTCTTACTGTGGTTATGTTCATTTAAAATCATTAAGCAATTAAATTAAAAGTTAATATAAAACAAACCAGGATCGAAGTTGAAAAGTACTCCAATTTTTCAACTTGTAGTTCTACAGCTTGACACATACAGTATAGGAAATAATCTCCGCAAGAAAATATTTTTTTACACAAAAACTTCAATCCACAGTGTCATCAAATCTTTGCTTACACTATTATACACAAAAAATAAAAGAAAAACACAATGTGCAAGATGGAAATTAAAACTGCAGATTCTTCTCTCTCATCAGTTTGAAAACTCAGTAGTCATTGGTTTTAAGTGCCGTATTCAGTTCCTCCTTGAAATTCTACTTTCTCCTTTACCAGTGTCAAAAATACAGCCCAGCCGAAACCATCTTGCTTTGACATGAACAAGCTGACACCCTGCTAGGTTAAAGCAAAACAGAAACTGTAGCACCAAAGCACAATACCACTGCATACAGATAATATATACTTACTGTATCTATATGTACACTTTGTACTTTGGCTGCTTTGTAAATTGTAAGGCATCAACAGATGGAAAAGCAGACAAGGTGTTCTTAAGAATGCTATTCTCCTAAGGATAAGCCCGTTTTAGCAGCTCGAGAGCAATGTGCTTTATTCTCAGGCTGTGCAAGGAAGGGGACCTATATTTCGCAGACGGACTCAGAGTGGGAGAGGAGTGCAGAGGACTGCAACACTCACAACACGATTCTGGCTGTTCAGTACAATACAGGACGGTGCTACACCTGCAACACTTCTTTCAGCTCCATTGCTGCATTGATTTAGATTCAAGTATTAAATGATTCTATAGTTGTCTGAAACCAGTATCCAGTCCCAGAATGTACATTGGACATTCACATTATTTGAAAATTTAATTGGATTTCTACCAGTTTTCGCATTACCCCTCACATACAGCTGATACCCAGATCATTTGGATGGTTATTTTTCAACACACCTCAAATTGTAATATATTATACAGTAGGTAGTTGTTGTCCACTGTGAATATTAAGATTAGCTACTCTCACACTATACATGATACCCAAGTACTGTAATGTGGTAAATGTGTTTTCTCTTAGTTTTTCAGGTAACTTGACATTTTTTCATACAAGTCACATTTGCATATTTCCAGTTTTTTTAATATGGTGAGGGAATTGTTGAGAATAGACAAGAAAACCATGTCACAGGCATTATGGAAAAATGGGATTCACCCCCTGGGTAATAGGCAGTTATGACTGACCCCTGACTTCACTTCAAATCACTTCAGTCACAGTCACGAAAACAGTGTAATTCCAAATGTTACAAATAACCTATTGTGCCCGACTCTCGAAAGAAGGCAATTTTGTTTTTGATAAAAAAAACTCCATTATGATGTCCTAAAAAATGTTCTGCCCCCAGTGGTTTATATATCTACGCTTATATACAAGATGAAAGTATACACAACACTATAATACGATTTAAAAAAATAAATAATTGAAAAAAACAATATCTAAATATTTTTTAACTAAATAATTCGGAATACCCCAGTCATACCATTTCTTCTTTCTTCAGAACCATATTTGCAGCTTTTTGCAATGCTATTATCTTTAAAACAAGCAGATTGTCCTTGTGTTCATAGGCAGATTGAGAAAGCATGTCAGCACAAATGCACTCGATTGAATTCCATATCCGGATCCAATCGGCTGCATTTACTCATGTACCAGTGACTTCCAACAACATCTAATCAGGCTGCAGAGCACAGGACAAACGTCCACGACGAAGGAGTCTTACGTACGTAGTCTCAATAAGGCATGTGCTGTGCTCCTTGTGCCGTAGAGAGGAGATTCTTCTGTTACGCTTTCTAAAATGTGAATGCTGCTAAAAGAGCTACAATAAGAACATAGGTAAATAAAAATAATATCTCTAGGATCAGTGAAAAGCCTGGGTTGTACTGGAGCTCTGAGGAAGGATGGCGCCATTGCCTAGGCAAGTCAATGTTCCGTGTTGAACTAGTGCTTGAGCTTCTCTCTCTATAACCCGAGATGAGGCTCATATGTTCTCTTACATCTGTGTTGTCCATCAGTATCAGTTTGCAGTGCTGGGGTACACAACAGTGGTTTGAAATCCCTTGGCTACTTTTAAAAATAAGAAGGACTTCATGTGGACACGGTCTAGTGGCCTTCCAAGAGGGAGTGCAAAATAAAAAAATATCATTTTTCTACCCCCTGGAGGGGGGATTTCCCTGGATTTCCTCCAGGAAATCACACATTACTCTTTGTAAATGAAGGTAAGGTTGAAAAGCACTGGGCTTGAAATGCGGTTTCACCACCAGCCCTGCCCACGCCACACTATTCCGCCTCTCTCCCGTCTCCCCTGTGCTCAGGTGTGTGCGCGCAAGCACGTGCGCGTGTGCCCAGCGAGGGCGAGTGCCTTATCTCCGGTAGTGATTGGGCGCGTCTGCAAACATATACTTCAGCCTGTATGCCTCTGCTAGCAGCAGCCCCACCTCCTCGTTCCCCCAGTGTATTGTGGGGAGGTTCTGCAGAAGCATCAGGAGGCCCTGAAAGAAGAAAAGAAACATCCATCACTGCACTGCCACACACAGAGTCTGACACTCACACAAGAGAGAACATCCTCTCCATCCGTATAACTCATCATATCTAGAAGGCATCATGGCAGGGAACCCTCTTTTCCACTTACATAAAAGGAATAAAGAAAAATAGTATATGTAATTTAAGGATGGGTACAACAATACATTGTTCATCAAAAAAAAGCTCTTAACGAAAAAGAGCTGTTAATCATTAATGGGAAGCAGCAGCACTGTAACTATTTTTTACTCTTCATCTTACTTTTCAAAAAGCTTATATAGCCAGTCCCTCTTTTGTCTCTGAGTAATGTTAGTCATGCCTTCCTTCACTGAAGATCAACAACCAGGAGGCATCAAGGCTAAGAATGGAATTGTAGTACAAAGAAGATTGCCAATTACTTCACTGTAGCGAGTCATACAGGAATGTGTCCAAACGCCTGTCTGAAAATACCTAGACACAAAACAGCCTAGCTACTGAGATAATACAAAAGAAACAAAGCATTAAGCACTAAAGGGAGCAGGCTCAAACTAAGATTTAAAAGTTGTAAAGTTGTGGATCAGTAGAGGGTCAAGCAAAAAATACTGTCACGTGTTTAAGTGCTGTGGGAAACCTGGATGAACACTCTCTGTTATATTAGTGTGATTCTGAACCATGGATAGACCAAGGTAGAAAACAACTAACTCAGTTTTGTATTTCACTATATTTCACTGTATTTCATGCTTACATACCTGAGCAAGCTAACATTAAGACAAAATACAATCAGCCTAGGAGGTTTCCTTTAGAACCACAGTAGACAAGATGCAGTTCTAATGTTTGGTAAATTAAAAGAGGACTAAAAATGTGATTCTTTCATCTGTAAGGAATGGAGTGGCCTATGGTGCAAATGAAAAGGAAGTAGCAATCCAAGATAATAAATGTCAATCATGACTAATAAACTGAAAGCCATAAAATACGCAACAAATGTGTACTGAAACCAATAGCACATTACATTTTAGTGCCTCTCATTATTAATACATTCCTGTAGAGAACAGCAATGGAAACAATCCACTCTACCATCTCTTTAAATAGCAAAGTGAACCAAATGGCAGAAAAAACAAGTACAGAGAAAGATATAGTTCAGAGTAAGTCTAATGAGTGTAAACTGGAGAGCCATACTTCCATTGAAGGCCCCAGGCTTAGCTGGAAGGAATTAAAGACAGAAACAGGTAGAAAAAAAGAAAAGAAGGAAAAATACAATATGCTACAAATTCAAGCTTGTCAAAGTGTGAAATTCTTCACTGGGCACCATCAAAGTGACAGCAATTCTTTTAAAAGTGACCAGCAGTCTGACAAGTCCTCCCTAAACAGTATAGAAGCTTCTTGCAGAAAGTGAAACAGGCATGATATGAGCACATTCATGATGTTAACCTCACCTGCATTTAACAAAAAATACAGGATGAGGAGAAAGGTGCTGTGTCCTATCACAGCAGATGACACAGACCAGGAAATTTCAAGGTCAGATATGCTACTCTGCCTTGCACCCTATCGCCGGGATCACACTAAGATTGTTGAATTGTCTGACAAAAGCCAACCTGGAGACATGTCTTCAAATGCAATGAAACAGTTTCTATTGTCTGAAAGTGTCTGTTTTCTACTAAAAGCTAAAGCCTTTTTGATGAGCCATTCAAAGCCCTCCTAGTGTTGCTTGGTAATGTGACATGCACACGTTCTGGAAGAGTATAACAGTTCTAACTAGGTTGAGATTAAAGGATGTCCGTCTTTAAGCAACACCCCTGATATGACAGTTACTGCCACTGGAATACTGAAACATCTTGGAAACATAAATCAGAAGATGCTTCAGTGCTGTTTTTTGTAATATCTCCTTTAGGGTTTGGACAATGCATTTGTATTGCTGTTCTGAAAGGATTTTAAAAATAATGAAATCCGTATATCTACTGTGCCAACAGTCCTTAAAAAGAGACAGTAAAGTCTGGGCCACATCCCTGCCCAACTGAGACAGTGTCAGCACACAACACGCTCAGTCCACTGGGGTTAGCAGTGGGATTATTCGGCCAGTGCTTCTTCAGGGAGTGATGACCCCAGTGAAAGGCACACTGCTCTTCCAGTCAGTTCTATCACCTGCAGGTTGCTGTGGAACTTGCACTGTATTAATAGGTGAATGTTTCTGTGAGTGTGCAGCTAAGAAGAGTCAGTTTACCCTTCTTCATTCTCTTCACGCTAGACAGCAGATGTCACTGTGAGCCAAAACGTAAAGCAACCGTTGGCAATCCAAAAATGGGGGGAATATAATAACAAAATAGTGATTCTTTTTTTTTTAAAAAAAGACTGCGAGAACTAGAGAAAACACAAACCGTAGTTGTAACATTTGGATCCGAGATACCGGTTCAGCTGGGCATGAAGACCTTCAACCTTTACTGTAGGTACAGTACCTACCTGGAAATCTACCATGGATAGTATCTCCTTCCTCCACTTGATGAGAAATGCAGCACAGACGTAGAGATGGAAATGAGAAAATCCCTCTGCCTCAGCCTAAGGAAACAGAAACACAGGATTTCCTGATATTGTAGTTTAAGATCAAGCATACTGTAAGTATGGAGGTGTGTTTCTGTGGGGTTTTGTTCCTGAAAAAGATGAGCTCTACATTTCTGTTTTAAAACTTGCTTGAAATATACTGTGTCTCATCAAGAGTGTGGTAAAAATAAGGCACCTCTCTTGGCTATTTAATGTGAAGGCCCCCTTGATAAAAATCTGGCAAAATCAAACCCAGGCCTTTTTTTTTCTTTTTTTTTAAACTGATGCTTAGCAATTGACTTTCCATTTACAGTGGCTTAACATTCATGGAAAAATACAGAACTCACTTCAGCAGCATTATTGTCATTTATTTTTCTGAATCATTTTAATTTATTCTTAACCTTTGAAAATGTTCTCCTGTTGAGGCGATAAAGAGAGCTTTCTGGCCGATCAGGCAAAAATAAAACAAATAATTCTGTCTCAAAAACTTGGTTAAAGAGACAAAACCACACGAAAGCACTTCAGTGGTGGCAGCAGACACCCAAAGAATGATGAGCAGTGTCAATAACAGGACAGTCAGGAGAGTCATTTCACTTTCAGCCTGTCAGTAAGAGGTTAAATGATACTGATTATGGGGTAATTTACTACTTCAGCTGAAGAGCAGTGGGTTGTTTTACAAAAATTCAGTCAGCTCTGCAAATTCTCTATTTTACTGAAACTGAAGAATTCTAATTGAAATACAACTGTAATTGTTTAATCATTAGAAAATGACATTCTAATTAAAAAAATGTAATTTATTCAGCTGGACAAATCCAACAAACTCTATATATAAGGTATTTGGCAATTTACACTTAAATATGTATTAATGATTTTCTTAAGTTTTTAACACTCCATTTGACAATAAATGCAGAAAATGAATTTTAGAAACATTGTACTGTGAAAAAAGTTGACTTCAGCGGCACTGAACAGAATTGTTTTTAAACTTGAGTGTTTCTTACTAAAAACAAATAATATTACTTCTAGGCCTTAATAAATGTGAAAAATAACAGTATGTGCTGAAACATGGAAACCTAATTGTTAATATCCAATAAATTAACAAGAAGAATATAAAAAATATAAAAATGAAAATATCACTCATTTTATGCTGCCCATTTATTTTTCATTATATTCTTTACACCACAAACACTGTATACTAATTTAAACACACATGATACACTGAAGCTTAATATTTTCCATAGATTTAAGACAATTATGATCAATTAATCCCCACCCTTACCTGGAAAGGTGCTCATTCTAATACTGTACTGTATATCTGTGCCACTGGTCAAAGTTAGCTATGCTAAGCCAATGAGGCTTAATGAAGATGGAGCAGTGGTGCTTGGCTGATAAATTTGACTGGGCAGAATAAAAAGTTGGATGGCAATTCTTCCTTGTTTATTGCTGTGATTAAAACAAAGACCTAATAGTCATAAACATATTTGATATATATATTGCAAAGCCAGTAAAAAAAACATTTCAGAAAACATTTTGTGTTTGGTGCCAAAAATCAGCATCTCAACCTGCAGCCTTCAATACAATAATTGACTAAAATAATAATTTTCTGAATACCCTTCATAAATGGGTTAATGATGATCCAAAACACTCAGGGGCTTCAGAACAGCGAGGGAGGCCTGAATGATAATTACAAAAGCTCTTTTTCAAAAACTTCAAAAAACGCACTTGTTCCAAATATGCTGTTTACAGGGAAAGAAAACAGATCCCTAATGAGAAATTGATGAGAATACTGAATAAAAAGACAACAGCAAGGAAAATACAAAGAAAGACATGTACAAGACTGCATATCTGAAACCCCCAAGGAGAAAAATTCTACATCAAGTGTGTTTTCCACAGGTGGCTTGCAATCCCTGAATTATACTCAGAACAGACAGCTCTGCACCTGAGATCTGTACCCAATAAATTTGAATTTGTGCCTGTTCTTGGCATGCTATGAAGAGAAAAACAATTCTGTGCACTGCAAAAAAAACATATTTATGACATGCAAAGGAACAAGTGATAGGTTCATGCTGAAAAGAGGAGAAAGAAAACACATTTCCGCTGTGGAGCCTTCTTCGGGTGTCTATTCGGGTGTATATTTATAATATAGTTATCTTCTGCACAAGCATTATTTGACAAATGGGATACATATGTTATCTAAATTAAAAACTTCACACAAAATACCTGAAGCTGGTTACTGGTCTTGCCTTTCAAACCCTGGTTTGTTTTTCAGGTAGCTTAAAAATAAAATGTTTCTAAAGCATGATAAATCAGTTTGTTTGCTTTTAATTTCTGACCATATTTTCTTAATGTGATTGTTCCTAGACTAGTCTAAAAAAACATTTCTCCAAAAAGGGCCCTAAAAGAACTCTTAATCTATTTTTTTATTTTTTGTTTTACAGTATTCTCTATCAAGGACACTGAAGATGTCAACGCAGTGAAAGTCTTGTATCAAATACAAACTAGAGGACACAGGTACTGTAAACTACCTGGAAATTAATTTTAAACAGAGGACAGGTGGCACTTTACCCAACAGCTGTGTGAGTAAGGAATGCTATTAAGCTCAGCTATGTTATTAAGCTAATACCCTGGCTTCTTTCAAGAAATGATTGGATGTTATCCTGAGATATTTACTACCAAATGGGCTACATGGCCCAGAAGACTTTCTCTTATTTCTAGCCATTCTTATGTTCTAGTATGGTATTAAATTTACCATTTTGGTAATTTTTGAAGAGTAGGGGGTGCTCACCCTGTGGTCTATGTAGGTCCTAATGCCTCAGTATAGTGACGGGGACACTATACCGTGAAAAAGGCGCCATCTTTAGAGTGAGACATAAAACCAAGGTCCTGACTCCCTGTGGTCATTAAAAATCCCAGCACATATCTCGAAAAGAGTAGGGATATAACCTGGCCAAATTTCCCATTGGCCCTTACCAATCATGGCCTTCCAACAATCCGCATCTATGAACTGGCTTCATTACACTGCTCTCCTCCCCACTGACAGCTGACGTGTGGTGAGCGTTCTGGCGCACTATGGCTGCCGTTGCATCATTCAGGTGGGGCTGAACATTGATGGTGGAAGAGGGGAGTCCCCATTACCTGTAAAGCACTTTGAGTGCAGTGTCCAGAAAAGTGCTATAGAAGTGTAAGGAACAGTTGTTATTAGGAAAACCTAATTAATAACAGTATGTTATCAATACAGATAACTGTTAAAATGAGGAGCTGTATGCATTCATCTCATACATCCTTCATTCTAAGCATATGTATCAGGCCCTACTGTATATGATGCACAAGTTCAACCTACTGTACCTTTTGTGTTTGGTCTTGTGCAGCACAGACACTACACTAACACTGCTTAGTTGTATACTGCTGGACTTTGTGTGTATGCATATGCATTGTGCATCAAACATCAGACTGCACAAAGCAAGAATACAATTTTGCTCACACAATCCTATAGACAATAATGTTCAGTAAAGGATGTACAGTATACTATTGTTAAGCACATTGCAGGACACTCAAAAATGAGAAAATAGGAGGTACTCTTTTTTTAGGGTGGAAAGAAATAGAACAAAAAGCTAAGCTGCTGTGTTAATGAAAAGAAGAAGTAAAAGCTTCTCAGTTGCACTGTTTCCATCCTGAATCTTCCTCAATACAAACATAGATTTAATCTTGTCCATCTTTCTCTCCAGCCTGCCCAGGACTGCCAGTACAGCCTTAGCAAAGAGACATTAGCCTTCACCAGTAACTGGGTCACTCTGATCTAAACCAGCACAACACACTCCCCACCACCACTATGGGCAGCACAGATCCGGAATAGCAGATACCAGCTGTGAAGTGTCTCCTCCTTGAAGGCAGGCTTACACGTGCTTTACTACTCTTCTTGAATGAAATGAGACAAACTTCACCAAAAGTCAAGCAATCAATTCCAAAGTAGTCAACTATATATAGTAGCAGCAATACAGACACTCTTATTAAATCTACAGAAAACATGATTATTCAGTTATGTGGAAGGAGTTATATAAAAGCAGCAAAAAATAAATGTTTAAACTATGCATAAGCAGTTCTGTGCATTAACTGTTTTTTTAATATTGCATACTATACTGTACTTTTTTACATTTATAATAACATTATGTGGTTGTACAGACACGACAAATGAAGCCTAGAAAAAAATCATCCTTTTGAAGAATTACTTAACTCTAGCTAAAATGCAGAAGAGGCAATATTGTAGCTTTTCCTGTTGTTCATGTGTATGCAAATCAGCATTTTGGGTGATTTGAAGTTAAGGAATAATTGAATATTTAGATGAAAGATGGAACTTTCCAATTTAAGACAGACAATTTTGTCAGACGGAAGATGAAGCTGTTTTACATGTAATGTTTATTAGACGTGCCATCGTTTATTTGGAGCAGAAATGGACCTTGACAAGGACCTTGTTTCCCCGTCTCAAAATATGCTTAAGTTATCTCAAAGCTTTAGCACTGGCAGTGTGCCGCTGACACAGAAAACATGACTTGATGCCATGTAGTTCACAGGCCTTTGGTTTCCATGGTAAGGTTTACCGAACCATGGAAGGGAGTCCTGAACTGTGATCGGACCGACAACAAAAAGGCTTCTTCACAACAGTCAAATACCTCCTTCCCTGCAGCTCATTCTAGTTTCTTGAAATGGTACCAGTGAAAAGTTAACTGAGGGGAGCTACTTTAAGAAAAAAAAAAATCAAGAACACCGCAAACAATGTGTCAGAATCCCGTTGACAGAGCTGTCACCCACCCCCTGATCATCTCCCCTTTCTGTTTGCACACCAGACTTTTTAACACTGAGGAGGACAACAACTAAAAATAGTTTGTTTGCGCTGGCTGTTTGTTTTCGGCTGTCTCCCTTTTGGTAAACGTGTTGTGTTGCATCTGAGAAGCGAGTCGCTGGGCTGCTCTGTTCCCGGGCACAGTGACAGCCCGTGAAAGCGCTGCCGGAGCCGAGAGAGAGCG